GGGTATCAGTCATTCCCAATAGAGTATAAAGGGGGTATTATAATAAATTGACAGCCATTGAGGGGATCATAGGAATATTACAGAGCCCTTGTGTCATCGTGACACGACCAAAATCCCCCGTCCCCCCTCCCCCACGCCGACCCCCCTTCCCCCACCCCGACTCCCTAAGCCGATGAATAATTACCGGTCCCTTAATTTGTCTTGATTTCCGGCAAACTGATATAGTTAAAAAAAACAAAGCCCCCATGTGAAGGGTTTATGATATATTTTCCTCTATCTTCTTTGGAGCTTTTCATTTGTCTACCAAGAGAATTATGATGTCAAAAAGAAAATAATCACAATTTGAACATTTCTACCACAGCTCTCCTCTTCCATAAAGTATTTCGCTGATGAAATTAATTGTTTGCGAAAGTATCAAAATAACTCCAACCTTGTAGCGAATGTAATGTATTTGTCAATGATGAGATTTTATCAAAAAACCGCCTGATAAATAATTAACAGAGCTTTATTATTATATAGTTTATCATTGGTAGCTTAAAGATGTTTCTGATAAAAGTGGTTTTTCACGCAAGTTAATTGATACATGTATTTGCTTTAAAATTTCCTTTGTTTTAGTATTAATATACGAAACGTTTTGTAATCAAAATCTATTTTTTTATGCATTTCCAAAATCTTGTCTCCAGTGCATCGTTGTCATAGAAACGATTACTTTCACGGCCTCGAGATCTGTCTTTGGATCACTTTTACATGTAGATCACCGCACTCATTACAACGTTTTTTAATTGCAGTTTGAGTAAAGATTATTGTTTAAATTGAGCATGAGTTTAAAAGTACATCCGACTGGCCTTGCCACAATATCTTCAAAGGAACTTCGCGAATTACAGAAACTTCATGAACTGGGGAAGAAGTACTGGGTAAGTAACTTGAGATCCGTGTTGTCGGGAGAAAAAAAATTCCTACGGCCAAATTATATGATCTGAATATTCTTAAATAGCTGTAAATTGCAACTATTAGTTTTAGTCTTAACGCTATAACACACTCGGTTTAGAGAGATCCTCTTGTTCAAATGAAGTGTTGATAAGAATCGCTAATGGATCGCTATTTATTTTTAAAACCTGCTTTAATGATTCCTTCATTTCGTTTTTCGTTTGTCCGTTTACGCTTTTTTAAAACTCTGTTAGCTCCTTTGATAAATTCCTATATGAAAACCAACGGTTAGGGAAATCTTAATTTTTCAAATGAATTGATCTTTAGTGCACTTGCGAATTCGAAATAAGGTGCTCCAAGAAACAATAATTTTTCTACCGATAACATTCCCATATATCCAAATAACGAAAAAGTTCGCTTTTAATATCTCTTCTTACATTAAACATTTACAAATCATATAATGTTACAGCAAATTACTAACATTTTGCTAATTTGCTCAAGCCCGCTGCTGATAGGAAACGTTACGAGGAAGAAGTAGCTCGACCTGAGCCCCGCCGCAGTAGATATCTGTTCCGCCATCCTTATTCCAGACTCATCATTGCTTACCTGGTTGTTTTCTGTAACTTCCTTATCTTCGCTGAGGACCCAGTCTCCCACAGTTACCGTGAGTGCGTCATTGACGTCATCGGAGAAATATACACCTTCATATTCATAAGGTAAAGGATGACGGTGGAGTTTTAATGAGTTTCAAAACCTCTCTTAGTGATTTCTTTGTTAAATTAGTCAACAAATTTGGAGAAAAATTCTGATAAAAGAAAACTTGTGGAAAAATTAAAAAGGCTTGGATAGCGGAGTCGGCCGGTTGTCGGAGTATTTAGTCAAGATTTTTATGAAACGAAATTTATCAGATTTAAGAAAGAAATTCCAATTTATGAGAGTCCGTTGGGTCACCTATCCATTTTGAGTAAATTACAAGGTTTTATTGCAACCTGTTATCCCGAACATAGAGTGATTCTTGTGTTTTTTAAATGAAGGCCTTTCTACAAATCTCCAGGTGGCCTCGCGGTTATTTTTCATTGATTAAGTTCAGCTGTTTGATGTTCGCTGTTGTTCTTGGCATGTGCGTCGGTAAATGGATCGTTCATGGATGGTTATTCTGCAAAAAACTTAAGTTGAAGATGTTTACTGAAGATGGACAAGGTTCGTGGATGGTGATGTTTCTCACTTCGCTTCTGTCGTTGTTCATCTTTAGCTTCGCCTACAATGGTTTCTTAATGTTGGAAGGTAAGTCCTAGAACTTCCCGGGTTGAGACTTTGATATCTGTGCTAGAAATACGTGCGAGGATGCGAGGATCTCCTAATTTCATCTCTCCACCGCAGTGCAAATATATGAATTTTCATATATCTAAAATCTTCATTCACTTGGATGTTTATTTGGACCCAATTCATTGACCAGCTCCCAGTTGGCTTGTTAGCTCAATTGGTAGAGCGCTGCACCGGTATCGCAGAGGTCATGGGTTCAAATCCCGTACGGGCCTGAATTTTTTTCAGGTCCTATTTAAAACTACTCGTTTCAGTAGTGTTCTTAGCTGCGAGGATCTCCTAATTTCATCTCTCCACCGCAGTGCAAATATATGAATTTTCATATATCTAAAATCTTAATACGTTACACTTGAAATTTTCACACATGACGTGTTTTTTAGTCTACCTGAATCAAAAAATCACGCCAATTTCAGTATGCTCTCACCTGCTGTGAAAGAGGATATATGAAATAAAAACATTAACAGCAACAACCACTTAGCATCTTTTTGAATTTTTGGCAATTTTTGAGCAACTTTCCAGCATTTTACGAGCGCAATCGAGACAGGCCCACCCACATCACTCGTTCCTATGCTTTGCATAACTGCGAGTGAAAAAGGAACCAGCCAAGAGAGGAGAAATGATATGCAAAGAACCAAGACCTTTATTAACTATGCATATACCACTGCTGACATGATTTTTCTTGGAAGGTAAATACATGGATAAGATGCATGCGAGTAATCGGATGGGGATGGAAAACCAAACGTTCATGAAGGTGGCCGCCATTGGTACATGGCTTGGAGATTTTATAACAGCTTGGATGGTTACAGATATGATGTTACAGGTAAGTAAACAAAACGGCTAACTGGGAAATCGACGAAAATTGATAGGTATTTGAGACCATACCATAAACGCAACCAGTAGTAAACGTTTTCGATCAGCCACTTGAGAGCATTTCTCATTTCTCCCCAGAAATCCTCCGCTTTTAGATTCAAAATGGCGGCCATACATTTTACGATGGAATAAGTCTGCGCTGCAAGCCAATTTTGATTCCACAGGGCGTAATTATGGTATACGAGTCACCGAGGACGAGATGGCTCCATTATTTTAATGTTCTTTGCTTTTTTTTTCTTTTGTTTGTTTTGTTTTTTTTAAATATTCACATTTCGACAAAATACTGTCCATATGATTTCCAATGTAGGGAGCACAATACGCAGACTGGGCACCAGGTCTCCGCCGCTTTTGGAAGACAGGATTGAACCGGGTGTATGCCTTTTGGTTCGTTTTTGTTGCCATGACAATAGTGGTAAGCACGGCGATCTCCACAGACTATGTAAACTGGGACAGATTAAACAGAGACTTTGTAGCGTCCAACGAGTTAGCGAGGGCGTTTTTGGCTTCGTTTATTCTTGTTATGGATTTGATGATTGTCATGCAGGTAAGAAGTACGTTAGAATTTATGATATTTTTAGAGAGTCTCAAAGGAGTTAGCCGTTAACCCTAAAACGGCAAAAAAATGTAGCCTTTGGGTTTTAAAATTGATAATTTTAACCGTTAATCGTTAAAAAAAGTGAACTGTAAAATTTTTTCTTTCAAGCGTAACGGAAAGAAATTAACCGTTAGCCGTAAAATGGCCAACATTTTAACCGTAAGCTGTAAAAGCAATCATCCCATTGAGATCCTCCTTTAAAGGATGTTATTATTTCTATTTCCGAATTAATTGATCTTTTTTTCATATTTTGAAGGACTGGGAGTTTCCCCACTTCGCTGGCTCGCTTGATATAAAGCTCCCAGGAGTGAACTCAGACGCCTTCGATGTTCGACTTCCCTCGTGCTGCGGAGGAAAACCGGTTGATATTTATATTACAGGAAAATGGTTTAACTATGGTATCATCTTCATCGTCATGATCTTGGACCTCAACATGTGGAAAAACCAGATCTTTTACGAACCTTTCGCATATGGCCAATACACAGATCCAGAAGGGTACATTTACACAGTGTCTGACAGACAGTTTCTCAGGTGGGGGAACAGATCTCTGCTGTCCTATGAATATCGTTGGAATCACCTCAACCCCAAAACTAACATAACTTATGGACTCGAAGATCTGCGAATGAATGCCAAATATAAAGGATACTCTTTGACATTGAAGGGGATCGCATTCGTGCCTTCGATTTTTGCATTTTGTGTCTTTGGTTATTTGCTTTATCTCTTCGGCTTAGAAGAGAACCCCGATGAGGTGTTAGTGAGTAGGTATCGGCAGGATGTCAGACGGCAGAGGCAAATAAGACGGTTGAGAAAGAGGAGCAGAAAGGAAACAAGGGTATCGATGGACAGAGAGGAGACTGGGAAATACAGAGGTGATTTGGTGAGTGCATGTCCCCCTCGTGGTATAACTTTTCATTGTACGCACATATGCATATTCGAAGCAGAATGTCGGAAAACCAAGTAATGACGAGAACGAGTCACGAGCTCTGCAATCCTTATCGAGGGGTGGAATTTCTAAGTGATCGGACTCTCAAGAGATTTTTTAAAAGATCCGACGTTGAAATCGATTCTGGCAAAGGCTCGAGTCTTCATAGGAGTGGGGTAGGGGGTACAGGTTATTCTCATTTCATTTCATTTCGTAACGCATATTTAGCGGCTCTCGTCTCTCAGTAGACTTCGTGGCTAAAAATGAGGTTAGTTTAGATAGACTGGTCAGTTATCACATTTACAAATGAATGAAGGGGGTTAGTTTCTAAAGAAAATATGGTGCTGCGTAGATGGGAGAGTATAACAAGATCATAGCGAAAGTTTAAGGCTCTAATGAAGGGCTAACGCTTGAAACGTTAGCTTTAAAAACTCTTTACGGCGGCCAATTTACCTTATCAACGCAGTTGATAATACTCAGTTACCCTGTTATCACATTTGCAAGCACACTCTGGATACACGAAGGGTAATTATAACGCAGTTTTCGTTATCTCTGCACAGCCCAATCCATTTACAATAAATAACTCCCGAAGCTTTAACAGTCTTCCACCTTCTCCCGCCGTACAAAGAAGCCGACAAGAGGAAGTTTTAGACATGAGCCTTTTCGACCACGACGAATCGTCCAATGAGAACGAAGAGACTCTCGACCAATCAGAGGAAAAGAAACCAGAAGTGAAGAAGAACTTCACATATTTCTTCCGGCATCCATACTCCCGCATTGCTACTTCATACTTAGTGGTATTTTGTAACTTCCTAATCTTTGCTGAGGACCCAGTCTCTCATAGTTACACGGACTGTATCATTGACATTATTGGCAATATGTACGGGTTTGTATTTTCAAGGTAGGTCATTATTATTTTCCTTTATTCAATCTGGGAAAGTATGGTCAAGCTTTTGATTTCTTCGAAGGGAACTTCAGTTTCTTGCGTCAAAGTCTCACCTCTCTCTAAAGGGTATACAGTGCACACATTCTAGTGCAGTGAATTAGTTAGAAGTAAAAACACTATCTCTCCCCTCCCCCTCTGAAGTACGTTGAACGGAACAAAAGCCAAACTGAGCTGAGGAAAAAGCTGCCAAGACACGCAACTTAAAGCTCTCCCTCCCCCTGTTAGTACCGATGATAGGCATATACAGTAGACACCACCGATATTAGCTCATTGTTCCTTTGTTTGCAGGTATCCCCCTGATTTGGGATTCGTTGCTCTCAAAGTCTTCATGTATTTATTCGCCGCAGGACTGGGCATATTCGTAGGCAAATACTTCATTCACAAATTCCTCCTTTGTCGTGTTCTCAAGCTGCGCATGTTCACTGAGGAGGGCCAAGGATCTTGGATGGTAATGTTTCTCACCGTACTGATGTTTCTGTTTATCGTAAGCTTCATATACAACGAGTTTTTGCTTCTGGGCGGAGCACACTTCGCACCCTATGTCTGCAGTAATAACTTGGGAATCGAGAACCAGACGTTTATGAAAATGGCTGCTATTGGCACGTGGCTTGGTGACTTCATCACCGCCTGGATGGTTACAGACATGATGTTACAGGTAAAGACGCTGCGAGGGGCTGTATTGTTTCTAAAAGTATGTTCAATGTTTTAAGAGGTGAACGCGATGTTGAGACTCCGAGATAAAGGTGCGAGACGAGAGGATGATGTCCAAGTTTTATTTGCCTTTTTTTTTCCTCCTTTTCCTTGTTGTTTTTTTTTGTTTTGTTTGTTTGTTATTTTTTTTTCTATAAATGCTCCTCAGTCTCACTTTTCATCTGAAGATGACTCATTTGAGGGGTGTTTTGAGGTATACCGTAGTTTTTACTTCCACTTAAACGATTTCCCAAGAATTTTAACGCGTGTGAGGGTGGTGTGGATTTAATAACCTGATGTAAATATGAACGAAATATTCATGATTCAGGATTTTTAATTTCTTAGTACCTTAGTTTATAGCTAATTGCACATTTGACAGGAAGTGAAAAAAAATCCAAAAAGATGATACCAAAATTATGAATTTTAACCTAGCTCTTACAATACAGACCTACATTTGGCGAGAAAACGCACAGTAGTATATCTTCAGAAGTTTGGCCGCCACTTTTTCCCCTATCACGTGAGTGAACGATAGGCGAAAGGTAACTGAAACAAATATTGAGGCAACTGCTTCCTGAATAATATGAGACGGCTTGGTGAACGTTTACGAGCTTGTAACGGTACGTTTCTATCCCTCTTAAGGAACCTACACTGCAAAATGGCTTTAACCGAAAATACTTTCCTCGTTCACAGGAAGAACAGTACCCAAACTGGAGTCCACGCCTCAGAGCGTTTTGGAGACGCGGTCGTAACAGAGTGTATGCGTTCTGGTTTATTGCGTGCGCCATGAGTGTCGTGGTAGCCACTGCCATCACAACTGACTATGTCAATTGGGATGAAATAAGCAGAGATTTTATGCCGACTAATGAGCTCTCCAGAGCCTTTTTGGCCTCCTTTATCCTTGTCATGGATCTCATGATTGTTATGCAGGTACCATTCACGATATCTAACAATGAAGCAAGTTCTGACGCAAATTTTCGCTGATTATTGTAATCACATAATCCTTCGCAGCGGTTGTTTGGTCTCTTCACACAACGCGCTCCCTCCTCTCAATAACGGTAGTTGTGTAGAGAACGCGTTAAGTAACGAGACTAACTAACGTGTGCGAAGGAGACCATATGCTTTTAGGCATTAGGTATCTTTCTGTAATTTTCTGACATTATCCCCCAGATGTTAAAGATCCAAGACCTGCTTGATCGATTTGAAGTGCTTAGCAAACCTGGGCACAATCGGCCGGAAGAGTTTCAAAATTTCTTGACCATTGCACGAAAGACAGAAGTGCGTCATGTAATTGCATGTGAATGAATTTGCCATTAATTTTCCTCTCCATCTCTCAATAGGACTGGGATTTCCCTTACTTTGACGGAGGTATGGAAATAAAACTCCCGGGTCTCAACACAGGGAACTTTCATTTCCATCTTCCCGGGGGAGATATTCACATCACAGGGAAATGGTTCAACTACGGCATCATATTCATTGTTATGATTCTGGATCTAAATATGTGGAAGAACCAGATCTTTTACGAGCCATTTGTTTACGGTCAGTACACTGATGATGAGGATTACATTTATACCGTTTCCGATAGAGATTTCCTAGCCAATGCTACTGCGGAAACACTGAGTTACGCTTGGCGTTGGTCACACAATAATCCACTGACAAACAAGACCTACGGCTTGGAGGATCAAAAAATGAACTCGAGATACATAGGATATGCTCTTAGCGCAAAAGGTACAGCGTTTATCCCGTCTCTATTCGCATTTGCCATGTTTGGAATCCTTGTGAAGTATTTTTCCAAAGGTGGACCTCCGCCGAAAGTGGCGCCTTCTGTCGAAAACGACACCACGGACGCCGCCGTCGAAGAGCGAAACATAAACGGTGGAATTACAAATGATGCAGAACTCACTTCATCAATGCCACAAATTAGAGAAAGTCGTCAGTCAGTGGCAAGTTCCGAAAGCGTGTTTGATGCCAATAAAACCAAAAATATCGGCTCCTTCTTGAGCGTCGATAGCTCACGTCATGGTCTAAATGCGCGACGTGATGACCTTCACAGTTCACGCGATAACTTGGAGAGTTCACGAGATTTTCTGAATAGTTCACGTGAAAACTTGAGCAGTTCGGCCGATAACTTGGAAAGTTCACGTGATGATCTCCACAGTGCACGTGATGATCCCGAAAGCTCTCGTGACGACCTCAGAAGCTCTGTTGAAAATCTCGCAATTTCACCGAAGGGCGTGGTGTCTGGCACCTCGTCTCGACCAGCCTGGTCATTCGACTCTCCGCCAAAAACGACTGCAAGCAAGAAGGGAACTAAACGCAGTGGCAGTTCTGACATAGAAAAAACGATTCAAAATCCTCAGTGCTCTAATGACGACCAAGATAAAGAGAATATGGTGCAAAACTTTGTACAGCAGCTGTCCTTTTTGAACCTCGAAGGTGAAGACAATCAAGCCACTAGTAAAGATAAGGACTCATCACCCGAAGAAAATAATCTTGCAGTGAAGAGCAAGGACGACAGAGCTTTGTCATTTGGTGAGTTGTTTCGCCGAGATCCTACCAGGTCATCCATGTCCCAACTCTCTGCTACTTCGTCTGATGACGAAGACAGACATGTAGACTCAAACACGGACGTCAAAATAACGAACAATTCTCTTCAAATACCACGTAAAAAGTGAATGAACCGAAACCTTAAAAGTAATTTCTGAGGTTGTTAAGACATAGTAAAAAGTAGATGAAGTAACTGCGTTGTAATTTTAGGTTATAAAAGTTTATGGTCGTGTATTGTTTAAGAAAGCAAGTTTCGTGTCTGCTTAGTGTCTATTCAATAATTTGCCTCCAAAAGACAATCATTGGTGAAAGGACAAAAACTTGTACTCCATATGCCTAAAGACCCACGACAGTATCAATAACTTTTCATCACGTGTAAATTAAACACCTTACAAAGGAACTTGATAATCATCAGCATGATAGAAGAAACTGCAATAAATTAAAAACAGTTAGCTTGGCTTCATAAATGCCCACATCAGCCAGGTTAGCCTAACCACCGAGGTCACCACACAAAGTAGCTATCACTGAGATGCCTTTTTAGGACGCAACTTTGACGAATAAACCAAAAGAAAAATACTTACGAGTCTACGGCTAGATGTTGGCGCCTTTAGTGCATTACTGCCTCCACATCAACTAACAGCAGAAAAACCAACGGCATCTCAGAAATAAGTTTTTTGCTCTCTCAGTAATGCACCCGACAACCAAAATGCAAGTCTTTTTTTTTAATCATTTTTTATTTTCTTTTTGGAATATAGAGAAATTTTGAATTTATTCAAAATCAAATGCGACTGCGTTTTACGCGCGTTTCGCTGGGAAGGGATAACTCAATTTTGGCTAAAAGCTGCTCGAAACTTACTTACATGTACTAACAGATAAAGGGGGTAAGTTTTTAGAGTAACCGTATAGGGTTTCTTCGATGGGGAGTATAACATGATAATTTGGCTTTATCTGAGCGAGTTGATGATGTAAATTGGCCTCCGGAAAGAGTTAGTAAAGCTGGCGTTTCGAGCGTTAGCCCCTCGTCGAAGGGTGTTAAAGGATAATTAAAGTGATTAAAATTATTACGGTCCTCATATTCGATTACGGCTCCTACTGAACGTGATCAACTTCCCAGACATTTTCCAAGTTTATTTCAATTTGTTCTTATGAGGTGTCATGTAGCAACATAGGAAATAGTTACTCGATCTGTTTTGATTAAGACCCCTTCTGCGAATCTTGAATGCGGTTTCCGGTGACTTCCGGAAGAAGCGCTCGATATGAAACAAGGCACTCGTCAAAATCAAAACCCAATCATGCTGGTGAAAAAAACCTTAATACGCCTTTTCATGTCGATTCCGTGAACAAGGCCCTTGTGCTGACACAATGAACTAAGAACGGTTAAGTGTTCTTTAGCGACTCTCCATCTGGACATCGTATCATATTTTGCTTCTGATGGGTAGACGCTCTTTTTCTGAGGGACTCTTCTTTTCTTTGATAAGTGTTAATGAAGCTATTGATATGCGTGACTGGGGGTGTGTACATGTCTAATCGGCGAGCGCGCACATCACGAAACGCAGACCCCCTGAATTGCACGCGATGTAGCCGGATATGATTTGTCCCTCAAATTTCTATAGAGTTTAAGAGTGCTCTTTATCGGTGTTTGTTTCGAAAGCATTTCTAAATTGCAGACCTTCGAGCCCTCGAGGCAGCGATAGTCGGCCAGAAATTGGCCAGAGTCTCAAAGATCGAAGTGCAAGAACCAAAATATTTTTCGTGAGTTCTTGTGTATAGCGTAAATGATGATTCTTTCAGAGGTGGTCACTGAAAATGTTTATCACTCAGCAGGCCGATGAAAGTTCTCTCCTCATCTCCGAATCTTTTTTACCTTTAAATTTCACACGGGACGACTGCCGTGGCAGTCGTGTCGTAATTTAAAGAATAGCATTCTATAAATTACGACACGACAGACATAACTGTGCAGAATAATCTCCGAACTCATAATAATATCCCTTTGATAATTCTTTACGAAGCCGACGTACTTTTTCTAGGTTCATGTTTCACTTGATCGTAATCTGTCATCGAATTTCTAATCACCTAAAACTATTTCTTGGCGGCGTTTCGGGAGAAGGGGAAGCTGTAGAATTTGAAAATGGTTTTCAATGCATTTTAGACCTTTTCGAGTTACAAATTTAGAGAGTATAATTCCCTGCAGTAGTTCTTCGTAAGGAGGATCGTGGTTCATATGGTTAAACAATTGTACTTGACACGATTGGTCTGTTTTTGCTCAACAACTCAAGGCGTCAAAACTTGAACGAGTCGCAGTCGTGAGGTGCTTTCTTGAATTACGCAGCGTGGCGAAATTGATGATAACAACTCCGCTTCTGTTTGAGTACAAGGTCGACGCTGTTCAAAAGGACTTACCTTTATGAAACAATAATAACTTTATTTCGAAGAGGAGAGGAAAAAAACAACGAGTCCGAAAAGCAACTTTTGGTAGTTTTTCTTTGTTTACAAATATTACGTTGTACGGAATGTTAGAACTTTAGACTCGTGAGGACACAAAACTATATTCTGGATTGGATGATCTCAGTTTAGGGTGAATCATTGTACGAGGAAGAAATGTCGACACGGAAATATTGCACGAGCCAAGACCAGGGACTATCGCGACAAAGTACGAAGACGTACAAGGCAGTTCGACAAAAATCAAACGCTGAGCTTAGTGAGAAACTTCGCCGCTTAGACAAGGAACACTACACGACTATCTCGAAACTCTTGAATGAGAGGTACACTTGGAGAACGATTCATTACAATTTACAACGTTCTGGAGAAGAATCTTCTTCAGATAGCGATGGTGACAGCGGACCCGAAGACGTTCCACATTGTACTTTCACTGCCGAGGAGGAATGCCAAACTGTAGAGAAAAAGGTTCAGGGTGCGCTCATGGACAACGCTAAGAGACAAAATTTTCTTCAGTTACCGAGCATAATTGAGGAATCAACGGCGATTTCGAAACAAAGATCTCCGAAATTAGGTCGGAGTCCTCTTCCACCGCTGTCAGAACGTGGCTTCCCGACTCGTGTTCGACGAAACGCCGAGAGTAACCACGAAAGGCCGACATTAACACGGCAGCGTCAACGAAGCACGACCCTTCCCGTGGGTCATATGTCTGGGGACAGACAAAGAAAGACGGACTTGAAGAAAATGACGAAACATGACAAGTTATTTCATGGCGAAGGAAAACGAGTGGGTGACGATAAGTCCAGTCTGAGCAGAACTCAAGACGATAATGAAGTGAAGAACACGACTTTGTCGTGGGAGGATCAGATGCATGGCTGTCGGTATTTAAGATCGCACAAGAGGAACTCGACATCTGACATTCTAGACTTGAAGGAAATATTTGACGTAACCTCTGATAGATCAACGAGTAAGAATGATTAGCGTTAATTTATACTGAGCGGAAGGAAGCGTGCGAAAAGACCGTTTATTGGCCATACAGACCGCAATCTAAAACCAAGGATAAATTGCCCTTGGAGGGAGTTAATCAAAGTACAGAGAATCTTTCAGCTCTACTATCTTAATTTCCAACAAGTGCCTAAACAAACATCAGCTAAGCAAGTTAAGGAAAGATTATATTGTTACTATCGGTTGACTTTGTTTGCCGCTGAGTGCCTGCTTAGAGACTACAGAGTATACCATAGCGCATGTTAAACCATCTAATAAGTGTTATAATGAGATCATGATCTCTTGGCTTGAGATTATTATCTCTTGTCTCCTGGGTTTAT